AAAAAAAAAAAAAAAAGAATAAGAAAGTGTCATTTGCCCTTTCTCCTCTCCCTCAGAGGCTGTGTGACCATGGTTAATAGAACGCTCACTTGTGTCTTCTTGTCTTCTATAGAATTTTGTAAATGGTAGGTTTAGGGTATAAATATGTGTTTTCAGAGATTTCATTCAGTTTGCTCTCAGTTCTTCCACTCTGCCCTTACTGGCTGTTTTCATCTTTACCTGTTCTGGGTTAAATGGTCTCCTCCAGAACTCCTCTGTTGAAACCCTAACCACCCAGTGCCTTAGAATGTGACTGTATTAGGAGATGGGCAGGGAGAGAGAGAGGTGTGACTAAGTTAAAATGGGCTGCCAGGGCCCCTGACCAATCTGGGGTCCTTTATAGAAGATGAAATGTGGACACAGGAAGAGACATGGGACAAGTATGTGCCAGAACCATGTGCGAGGACGCGGGGAGGTGGAGGCGTCTACAAGCCAAGGACAGCGGCTTCAGGAGAGGCCAAGACATTTGAGTCTTGAACTACAGTAGCAGCCTCCAGAACTATGAGAAAGTAAATTTCAGTTGTTGAAGCTGTGTGGTCTGCGGTCCACTGTGTGTCGGGCCTGACAACCAAATACACTGCTGTCATGCAGAATCTGGAATCAAGCTAGCGCCTCTGAACCAGGCATAGAGGAGACTTGTGAAAATGTAAAACAGTGCCATGTTCTAATGGGGGCAGGATATATTTGTTTCTCATAAAATGTATTATTTTGTTAATATATTGGGTAGATTGTTATTTTTAAATAGAAATTTAAAAATTCTTAGTTTTTTAAGTACAGTAACTATCAATGTATGTCTAACTCACATAAAGTTCTTTGGGGTCCTGGGGCCGGGGATTTAGCTCAGTGGTTCCGCCTCCTGCCTCGCAAGTGCAGGGTCCCAAGTTTGATTCCTGGTACCAAAAGAAAAAGAAAAAAAAAAAGTTCTGTGGGGTCCTCATGTATGGTGTCCCCCTAGGCCCAAAGCAGCAGCCCCACGCAGCAGCCCCACGCAGCAGCCCCACGCAGCAGCCCCACACAGCCATGGACTGAAGCCCCTGAAACCATGAGCCAGAATAAACTCTTCCTCTTTAAGAATGGATTCGCTGGCCAGGGGTTTAGCTCAGTGGTTTCACCGCCTGCTGCACAAGTGCAAGGACCTGAGTTCGATCCCTGGTACCAAAAAAACCCCCCAAAACCGGATTCACTGAGGGGCTGGGGATTTAGCTCAGTGGTTCTGCCACCTGCCTTGCAAGTGTAAGGACCTGAGTTCGATCCCTCGTACCAAAAAAAAAAAAGAGTTGATTAGCTGAACTGGATAAAGAAGATGTGTTTTTTTTTATAAAATGGAGTACTACTCAGCCATAAAGAACGAGAAACTAGAGACATTCATAGCTAAATGGATGCATATTGAGGCCATACTCTTAAGTTAAATAGGGTACACACGTGTGCAAATACCAAATAGTTTCTCTAGTGTGAGAAACTGAAAGTGTAAATAAGGATTAAAATGATTAAAACAAAAAATGATTAAAACACAAAATTGATAATTTGAAATAGGAAGAAAAGGCCCAAAGGGGTAGGGGAAGTCGGAGGGGAAGGGGAAAGGAAAATTTATGAGAAAAGAAAAAAATGGAAACACAGTCTTTGTAACTAGGGAAGGGTGGAGACGGTGAAGGGAGCACAGGGAATGGGGAAAAAATAAAAACCAGGATACATCATGTACAGGTACAAGTACCCAATGATAAATGTAAACATTGTATACCTAAAATGTACCAATAAAAGAATTTAAGCAAAAAGAATGCTGAGTAGTGTTGGATTTTAGATTAGATGCATTTTTGCTCCCTCAGAAATCATATTGAGTAGGAAATTAATAAACATCTGAAAGGTGTGAAAAAAAAATTAATTAGCTGGGCCGGGGATTTAGCTCAGTGGTTCCACCGCCTGCGTCGCAAGCACAAGGTCCCGAATTGGATCCCTGGTACCAAAAAAAAAAAAAAAAGAATTGTTTAACTCACATAT